AAAAAAAACGCGCCAGACGAGGCAGCAGTTAACGCAAGCAAAGCGTGTGTGTGTGTGTGTTTATGTGTGTACACGTGTGGAATAGCGCGAATGCTTTAGCACTGCAGCTCATTGCCAGCAGAAGCCGTATCACCATCCACTTCTGCACATGCCACAGGAAGGAAGGTCTGCTGCTGTCGCGGCGCAGTAGCACAGGGGAATAAACAGGTGTACATACAAAAATATCGTTTGTATGTTTATAATGATGTAACACATTTCCATGGCATCTCATTTTAGGCCGTCTTCTACTACTGCTTACTTCTCTTTATTTCTTTTTCATTGCTATCATCTTTCTTCTTCGATTTGACACACCCCATTGCCTTGCTTTCCGTTTGTTTCATATCAGTTAATGTGCTTGCGCGCCAGTGGGAAGGGCACCAATGCTAAGAAACATCACGTGCAGCGCATGCGGCTTTGATACATGGCCGGTGCTGGCGAGCCCTCCTCATCGCCCCGACGCTGTGGGCGCAACCGCCAGCACCGCCGCATTGACTGCACACACACCAACACAAGGAAAAAAAGAAACCACAAAAAAAGAGAGGAAACTAGCATTATTTTTTTTTTTGTTTGCCTTCCTTCGTCGCGTTTTTTTTTTCGATTTTTATCCTTCTGTCCACTTCTTCCCTCGATTGCTTCACCTCATCGGAACAGCGACGAGATTTGATGGGGAAATGTTGAAAAATTGGTGAGGAAACCAACACAATTTCAAATCAAAGAACACACACACACAAACACACACACACTAACACAAATCAACGCATATATACATTTTCTTTTCTTCCGTTCGTACTACTTATCCATTCAAAAGACGCATGTACCGAAAGACGGATTTCTTACCTTTTTGTTTGGGGGGGTTCTATGCGGCAGAAAGTCAATGACAAACAAAAACAGCCCCCCCCGCCCCCACATAGGCAGCACTGCCAAGAAAATTTTCCTTTCTTTTATCGAAGATGGGGGCGGGGGGATGGGGAGGGAGAAGTGAGAAAACGTAAAACAATCAGAGACAATCACAATCACAACCACAAATACTCATACACAAAGGAAATCAGAACGACAAGAAAGAGGTGAAGGTAGGGTCACTCAATTGCGTGCTTCGTATCCGCTAGTTTAGTTTCCTGCGCAGTTTGCACTTCCGTAGCCTTGACCGAACAGCACGGCAGGGGGTTACGGGGGTATACATAGAAAGACAACTTCTCTTTTTCTCTCCCATTTGTTGCGGTTTCATTCCTTCTCTTCTTCCTTCTTCTTTGCTGATAATACTCAAATTGTTGCTTTGATATGCATCGGCGTCCAATGCATTAAGCATTTGACTTCTCCAAAAACAAAGGGGGAGGGGTAGTAGCGTGACGTTTTGAACATCAAGTTCTATTGTTTTTTCTTTCCCTTCGAGGGCGCGTCATGGTGCCGGGGCTTTGACTTACCGAAATTTAATCAAGCCCCCGGGGCCCTGCTACTATTGCTGCTGCATCTGCACTGGTGGAGTGGAACTGATCGGATTGTACCGCCCCTGCTCAAACGCTGCATTCATGCTGGGATACACATTGGGAGAGGTGTTGCCGCTGTACAGCATTGTCTGCTGCACAGAGGGCCCAAAGGCGTGGTACGATTGTGTCCAACCGTCATTCTGTGTGTGTGTCATCAGACCGTTGCCATTTGCATAAAACGTATTCGTTGCATAGACATCTCCAGCTTGGGGTATCTGTTGTGGTTGTGTCGTCACCATTTCCGCTGAGGTGTAGGGATCGTGCCGGCTTTGCAAGGCGAAAGGTTGCCGCTGTTGTTGTTGTTGTTGTTGTTGTTGTTGTGGTTGCTGCTGCTGCTGCTGTTGTTGTTGTGGTGGCGGCATCATGCTGGGATAGCATGTCCGACCTCCAATTGTCAAGCTAGGAGCAGCCATTGGGTGCTGCTGCGGTGGTGCCATGATGGGGTCTGACGGAGATGCCAGATAACTGTAGCCGTATCCAGATCCTGCAGTTGCCAACGGCAGCACGTTCCGGCCGGCGACAGCGACCGCAGCTGTTGCCTGTTGATACGGTGCACCAGCTGTCAGTGGGCGCTTTCCAGGTGTGAGGCTGTTGCTGCCGGCAGAGGAGCGGCCACGTTCACCTCCACGACCCCCTACTCCGCCACGGCTCTTTTTGCCACCCCCACGTCCGGCGGTGCTGCTGTCACGGTAGTAGTAGTTGGTGGTGCTGTTGGTGTTGCTGGTGCTGTTGTTGTACACGTCGCCATCGACCCAGGAGAATATACCCATGCTCTCCATTTTCTGCACAAGGTGCTGACCGTAGACCGAGCGGCGAATGCTCATAATATGAGGCCTCGTCTGCTCCGCAATGTGTTGCTGCTGCTGCTTGTTTACCTGCTGAAGGAGGCGCTGCACAACATAGTTTGCGTACGGATCCTGCATCATGAGGATGAGGTAATTTCCATCCTCTGTACCACCCAATGGACGGGTGAGAGTCTCCACGATCCGCTGCAGCTCTTCTTCATTTGCCTTCACAATAGTTTTCTCCGCCACGTTGGAGGCGAACTTGCTACACGACAGCGCGTAGACGTGAGGAATAAGGAGATCGACGAAACGCTGACGAAGGTCCTCCGGCGCGTTAAGCAAGGCATGCTGCACGACATAGTTGCCGTATTGATCCATCACGTACTCGTGGACATGATCAAGGACAGCCTCAAGGAGTGGGCGTATGTTTACTTCCGGCACCGGTGAGCACTTCTCAAAGACGCACTGCAGCACACGGCAGCCATATGGGTGACGTGAGAGGGACTTGAGACGTGACATAAAGGCCTCTGTCACAAATTGCGTCTTCTCTGGCATCACCTCTATGATCTTCTGCGCCACATGGTTGGCGTTCTGATCAAAAACGCAGTCCACAAGCGAGTCCTTCAACTCAAGAAGAATCTCCTCACGTGTTTCCAGTGAGGCGCGCTCCAGGAACTTCTGCATTACACGGCATCCGTACATCTGGAATGAATACTCCTTCAGACGTCCGCTCACCTGTGCCAATAGCTGCTTCGACTCATCACTGCCCACAGACAGAACATCCAGAAGCTTCTGTAACACGTAATTTCCGAAGACATCGATCATCAGTTCATGTGTGTTGGGAAGCACTTCGTTAAAGATGGACTCCACATTTTCCTCTTCGTCAAGGAGACGCTGCACAAAACGGCTTCCGTCTTGATCCTTGCTGAGGGCGACGATGTGCCCCTTGATATCGTTATATGTGCACTCCGAGCGCACACCTTCAAGATACTCACGCATTGGCGTGAATTCATCGCGTGCAAGTCGGCTGCTGACAGCATCACCCCCTTTCATCTGCCGGCGTGCATTTTTCTTCGACCCGGCGTTCGGGAAAGAACGATTCCCACCACCTGGTGGACGACGTGATGCCGATCCGACCTGTCGCATGGACTGGACCGCCAGATCGTCCTGCTGATGCGCAGCACAGTTGCTACTTGTTCCACTACCCGCGTTAGGCTGCAAGTAACTTCCACAAGGAGTCGTGTTGGTTGAGACGCTGTCAGCGGGAAGATGGGAAGACGTCTGGCACGTCTCCATGCCAGAGGAATGTGGTTGCTGCTCTTCCTGTTGCTTCTTTGAAAGTGAATCCAGAAGACTCTGCGCAAACGCTGCTCCCTTCTCTTTTGCCTCCTGAGACGACTCATCTACATCATCGACGTTCATGATAATGTTCGAGGCAGTGGAAGCGGTCACAGTGCCGTCGCCCTCCTGATGTTCCTTGTTGGCTGCCGAGATACCGCGCCCGGGAAGTCCCGTCTCGCCGCCGCGCTTCGTCGCGCCGCGGTTGCGCAGCGGCACGAGCATGCGTGGGTCGCGTGGGTACTTGGAGTAGTACAACATGTGATACTCCTCTGTGTAGCGGTACTCCTCCTCCGGCGGCACCTCCTCCTCCAGGCTGCCGCCGACACACAGTCTCCCGTCAGCGGAGAATATCGTAAGGACAGACGGCGCCGTCTCCGCCCGCCTCACGTCGCGCGGGTCAACAACGAGAAGCGTGTCGGCACCCCCACTGAAGATGTCGTGTCCGTTGGAGAACCAGTCAACCTCCACGGCGTCCTTCGCCTTGCTATCGTTGCAACCCTCTCCAGGAGCAGATGATCCGATGTTTCCCCAAGTTGACATGCCGTATTTCACTCGCTTTTATCTTCTTGAATTCTCTGCCCAATTCCTCTGTATTGTTCGTCTTCCGCAATGTCTTCTTGTGACTTTGCCCCCTTTCTTGTTATGGCCAAACACAGGTCTGTCCTCCGCCTTCTCCCGCGATGTTTCTTCTTGTTGGTGTCGCCTTACGACCGATTCCTTACTTTTCTTATTCCTTGGTAACGCTGTTTGTTGTTCCCTACCCTCTTCGCGCTTTCTGGTCGTCCGTTCGATGCTTCCCCAGTAGCCAAAAATACTACTTGTTTGTTTTTAGTTATCCCCTTGCGTGTCGTGTGATCGCCTGTATGAGGAAGCCCAAACTCACGTTCCTGTAGTTTGTGTCTGCGGATCTATGTCTGCGCGTGGAGACGAACCAAAACTATAACGAGGATACACTCCGAAACAAAAACAAAAACAAAGCGGGAAAAGCAATGCAAGAAACAGCGTCTCTCTTCGAAAGGCCTAATTCCACGTTGCCCTTAATTCTCCCCGTTCGTAGATGTGGTTGAGTTGCTGCCGCACGTCGGATTGAGGAAGACAAGGGAATCTGCCTTCACGCCCAAATACACCTTGAAACTTTTCGCTTCTGTATGGGTGCTTCCGCTCAATTGGTAAACACTAGCGTTATGGTCCCTTTCCTTTGTTGCTTCTTACAGACAACAAAAAACAACAACAACAACAACAACCGATAACCAGAAAGAAAGAAAAAAAAAAAGAGAGAGAGAAGGGATGGGGCGTGAAATAAGAGCAGTAGCCTCCCTGTGCCCGCAGAAGGAGGATGAGAAGCCAAGACTAAGAGCCCATAATGGCACAGTTATACATGCGGATACACCCCAAAACAGTCATGCATGAGTTGTGATCCACTTCTAGAACCAAAAATAAGGCAACCAAAGAGTACACCAACACTGTTCATTTCCACACAACTGTGTGGTGGTGTAGCGCGCAAACCGAGTGCGCGTCTAGATGCATCTACAAGCCAAAGAAGAAAGGATGGGTCAATCACCCTCTCATCCTCTTGTATCACTCTAAATAGAGGTTCTCTTGCTCGTTCAATTCACTGATTCGCTAAACAAAATAACGTGGAAGGGAGTGGGGTGGAAGAGGCGATGTCAACGTGTCACGATTGTCGTCGCAGAGCGCTTCCACCCCTGCCCATGCGATGATCCGGCAGCAACCCCTCGCCCACGCTGCTGGACTCGTTGCACAGGGAACTCGTAAAAGGGGTCGATGCACGATTCGTATCGTGCACTCCACGTTGCAGTGCGTGCGTAGCAGCGCGAGTGGTCATTCGCCGTCGCGGTGCGCTGCAGCTTCTGTGCGGAGTTGAATCGCGGCGGTGTCGTCCCGGCGGTGGCTCTCCTCCGACACAACAACGCCTCCGCGGCTGTTGAGCCACCACCACCACCGCCGCCGCAGTTGCGCCGCGTTGCGGGACCCTTCACTGTCGTTAGAGCGCGGCGGCTGCGTGGGGTGGCGGCCAAGACATGCAGCGCAACGCTGAGTGGTTGGCCGCGCGGAGTGCGCGGCGTGTAGACACTAGCAGTGCGCCGCAGTGGCGTGCCACTGGCCACCAGGGCCCGCTCACGCGCGGAGGCTGGTCGCGGCGTCACACAGGCTGCGGTGGAGGAGTACAGACGTGTGAAGACATCCCCCTTGTCCTTGCGTCGTGTGTTCTTCACACCCTTCAGCGGCGGCACGCATGGCTGCTGTTGCTGCTTTTCACCGTGATAGAAGGAGGGGTATGTGCTGTGCATTCCTGTTACGTGCGCAGCGCCACCTGTGCCGGGTCCTGTAGACGTTAGATGCGCGAATGCAGATGCCGGAGGACGTAGAGACTTTGACAGTGTATTTTGCCGCGTACATTGGTGCCGGTCTTCTCTTGAAAGACGCCTGAGTGCACCACTTCCGCCAGGGCGAACAGCTGCAGGGGGTGCCTCCAGGAGTTCCTTCGCCTCCAGCCGCCTCAATTGATTCGGATGCACAATAAATGTCTTGAAGTGCTCATCCCACGCTGAACATGTTTTCTTTATGTGCTTGTGATTCAATGTGGCTTGCACGTCACGCTTCTCGCACGTTTTTACCACATCTGACGCCCCATTATTTGTGATGGGAATCGTGCGGCGATCGGCATTCACAGGAGGACCACTCGGACTCTGCTTCTTGATCACTGCACGGCGATTAAGTGCCTCTGTCACCTGTGGCATTGCTGCTTTTGCTGGCTTTGGTTGAGTAAAGGTATTTGCTATGTTCACTGCAACGTCATTTAGGTGCCGGCTGACCGTTGAGAACTGTTGCAAGTGTTGCCACGGCACACGGATCGGCGGTGAGGCGCCGCGGTCATTCGCCAGACTGTTGTCGGGGTTGTTTCGGCATTGTGTCATGATTGTGGACGACGGCGACGGGGGTTGCTGGGCTCGTGCAGTGAATGCCTCATTGCGTGGCATGGGGACAACGTGCAGCGTCGACGGAAACACATCCAACTCGCTCTCCTCACGAAGAGTTAAGTACCTCTCAGAGAGCGGCTGTGTCACACGATGCACTTCGTTGAGAGAAGGGGACCTGTTGCTACTGCTAACTTTCAAATCTTTGATGGTGCACGCCGACACCATAGTTGCAGCCCTCGTTGGAGGGTCGGTCACCGCCGCTGCAGGCGTGCCCCGGCTCGCATTTAAAAGGAACGTGACTGCCTCATCCGCCGATTTGCCATCAAAGATCATTCGCAGCGCCTCGCAGCGGTGGTCGGGTGTGGCACCTGAGATGAATTGAATCTCAGTTTTGGTGAGGATGCGATTGGCTCGCATCAGCATCGCTTGGATTGAAGCGGGGAGTTTCAGCATCATCTGTTCTTGCTCTTCTTCTCGCTCCAAGCTGCTGAAACGAGACATCTCTCTCTGCTGTTGAACTGGCATAGCAATCATGCTTTGCTTTCCGCTCATTTTCTCACCATTTGTCACAACAGGAATGGAGTAACAGGGCAACAGAAGGGAAGAGAAGCAATGCCACATACTAAGTGCGAAGAATGACGACAACATCATCAGCAAAAAGCACATAGTGTGCAACAGACGAAGAAGAACAGGAAAACCGTCTGAGTTATAAACAAAAAAGAAAGAAATAAAACGAGTCTTCCAGGAGGTGAGGCTGAAACATGCACGACACTCTTCACCAGGCCGCTTCTACTTCTTCTTGAGTGTCGCACCAACGGGGGCCTTTGCGGACGCCTTCTTCGTCACCGCCTTCTTCGCGATGGAGGACTTCGCGCCAATCTTTGTCGCAATCTTCTTCGTGATGGCGTTCATCTTCTCCTCCTTGCGCTTCTTCTTGGAGTCGCGGCGCTTCTTCTCCTTCTGCGATTTGGCGTGGGCCTTGAGCGCGCGCTTCACGATGCGCTGCTCCTCAATGAGGAACGCACGCACGACGCGGTCGCGCACCTGCTCGTGGCTCAGCACGCC